TAGAAGTAAAAAAAAAAAACTATTTCGCAAATAAAAAATCGAGTTATTTCTCAATTTCTTTCCCATTTCCGGCAGGAAGGCTTAGCATACGTCCACAGGTGATCAGAAATGAGGAAACGCGTTATAATCTCAGGATTAGGACTTACTTTTACGAATAGGCGACCTCTTAGGCTTAGTCGGATCCTGACTGATCAAACTCTCACGAGAACCAGCTACCTCTTTTCTGAAATATATCGAGAGAGTAGACCAGCTTAAATTCGAGGAAGATGAACCCAAAGTTGTAAAGGAAAAAATATAGCAATAAAATGGTACTTCAATGTCGGTGGCCTTCGTGCCGACGCATTGGGTCGATACAGGCGTTGTCTGAAAACGGCAGATTTCCGGTGAGATCTGAATATTTCACATTGCTGGTGATAATTTTGTTGGAATAGTTTCATTGTTCAAAAGCCTTCATTATTTCTCATTAATTTGAATATAGTGCTATATCTAGCGTGGAGAGCTAGCAGTCAAACCTATAAGGCTGTTGTCAGAGTCCGCGATCCTTCGCGCAGCTATCACGCGAATCGCAAGAATCGCAAGTGACTTATTTTGACATTTGAAACACTGAATATGAAACAAGTAGAATCATGAACAGTCGTCATTCAACCATCACCATCAAGCAGAAATGGCGGCGGGATTGGAGAGCACCTTGCAGTATTGATCGGGGCACTTGTGATTTCTGTGATCCGTCGCGCGAATCGCGCGAATCAAGTGACTGATCGCGGACTCTGACACCAGCACAGGTCAACGGGCGTTTATCACTAGATCGATATTGACCCTCTAAGTGAAGTTTGTAAAGAATTGAGGGGCAGGATAAAAAACTGGTGGGTACATCGGCCAACGCTCACATGTTGAATAAATAAATAAATAAATAAGTAAATAAATACATAAATAAGTAAATAAATGTCACAACACCAAGTAAATGACATTCATGCGTCCTTGTGATTTTTATCCGCGGTTCATCATTAGTAGGGACTGATCAAGCTCGACTTTTCCTTCATCATTTCCTCCTATTGCGTGAAAATCTCTAACTTCCTTTTATTTCTTTATTTATACGCTCTTTCGTGTCCACCCCGAACAAAAATTGCTACTGTGAAGGCGAAGGTTGTTCAGTCAGCCCCCCTCGGTCAATACGCTGAAAGTAGCTCACCTTTCTCGCTCCTTGGCCTCAGCAGCTTCTCGCTCAGCTTGTTCACGTTGCAGACGCTTTTCTTCCTGTTCTCTAGCTTTTCGCAGAGCTTCCTGAGCTTTCCTGTACTCCAATGCTCCTAAAAATAACATTACATAACATCTATAGTACATGGGGCGGAGTGCTGCAGTAGCAAGTAACAAACGAATGGTTCCGAGGGTAAATTCCGGTTCGAATCCCGTCTAGGGCAACCAAGCCTTCGATTCGTGCTAGGTCGGGTAAAAGGTAACACCTGTACAGAAGATAAAAAATTCTATCTTGCACACTGCTGAAGTCACACTATAGCCCACACCAAATCACTACCACCACAAATTCTACATGGGGTCCATTGCGCGGCGCATCCCAAAAAGGGATTGGTCAACGCCGGATACCTGATCCTTATTTTACATAAAGCTTTCAGCACGCCTTCAGTCTAGGAATGCTTCCTTATGCTTAGTGCTAGTCTCTTTACGCGTTCCTCTGAGGCTGATCGTAGTCATTACTTTACTGGCCGATTGCCAAAAAGGGAAGCAAAAGCTGTCTGTGATGTGACTAAAAAACACTACGCCATAATGGAGCTAATTTCCTAGATCAACAAAGTAGCAGACTCAATTATGTCGGTATACCACCCACGGCATTCCAACCAGTACATAAACACGAAAAGTAAACATCAGTGAAGATAAGCCTGAGTGTGACTCACCCTCGGTTAGCCCGACAGGTAGCACCAACGGCCTTCGACGTTCCGTCTCAATCACAAAAGTGTTCTGTGATGCGGCCGTGCCCAAACGTGGTTCACTGCTTCTTCCACGCCTGAAATGTTCCAGGAGACGGTATCAGTTGATAAATATGGGTGATAAATTATTATTGAAGAAATTTCAACGTCTTATTTGGGGAACCAGAGAGTGGGAGAAGTGCACACAGATAAACAATAAAGAGTCGACGTAAATTTGTAATGAGGCCAAATTGATGCCGTCCTCCGAAAATCTCATGGGTCTCATGATACCTGTAGGGTAGCGTTCATAGACAGGTACGAAGGCATGGCATCTACGACTAGGAATAAATAGGTGTCGAATTTTCCAACACCCTCTCACTTCCATCAAGCCGCAAGATTCCACGATTCTCGCAATCGATACGTATACAGTAATGTTCAAAGGTCACACCTTTCCGGAACGTTTTCGTGCACATTACGGCTTTTCACTCTGAGAGCCCTGAGACTTTATTGATGTCTTGGAATCTCTTGAGCTCAGAAGTTCAGAATGAATAGAAGTCTCAACATATCAATAATTGGAAGAGACTGGTTAAGTGAGACAAAACAAAGCAAGGAAAACCGTCCTTGGCGAAGACTTTTGACCGCGAATGTATGTGTAATCCCAGTTATGGATTCCGTACAATCCAGGGTGTCGTCCAGAAGGCCACCAAGTTGGAGAACGTGCAGAAATGCAATTGGATACGGTAGCTTATACAGCGCATACCAAGCGTTGGAAACCACGTACGACATCGCACTCGCCGCGCAGGGTTTCCTGTCTGGCATCCAGCAATCTACGATATCGCCAACTATGAACGCTACCTTCTTCGCCACCGGGCGACAAATTGGGACGTTCCTCAATCAAATCAGTGGATTGAGGATGAGACCATGGGAAAATTCCCCATTTTCCTGTTACACTTAACGCACGTTAAGTACCTCACAGCTGAAGAATCCGTTCACGTCCTAAGGTGCGTATAGCTTCTTCCATAGTGGAAATTTGGCATAGCAACACCGCGCCAAAGTTTTCAATTTCGAGAAAAGATCTTCAATCGCTTTGGCCCTTCGGCAAAGATCCATTCCGTTATGAGTTGTACTCTGCCGTTCACGTGGGATCTCACAGCCCATCATTGCAGTTGCGAGGCTTTTTTGTTTTCATTTGATCTACTTGAAATTTAATTTTCTAGCAACAATTTTTTTATCATTTTTTTTCACGAACACATTGGAAACTGTATGACAAGTTTCGCTCCAATTCACCTAATAATTCACTTAACAAGTTGACTGTGGTCCCACGTGGCCACAAGACAAGAAAAATCTGCGTGGGCTCCAAAGAGGTAACCAGCGGGGCAAGTTTTTTCAGGTGTTAACAGCACAAAATTTTTTTCGGGGTAGATCAGGTAAATGTGAAAATTGGAGATGTGAACCTTCACACACTTCATGAGATAATTGTTGGCTACCAGCCCAAAGGCGAAGTCAGTATCTTAGAAAGACGACGTCTCCAAGATTTGTAAACTAGAAGTAACTCGAAAAAATACTCACTTCGGGTCATGAATTGTTTTTACCAACTTGTGATTCCGTAGCACTTGTCCAGGAACTGTCGGTTGGACATCAGGTGATAGCTAAAACTGGACAAATTCGATTTTGAGTATTTTTTGACTGGAATCGCACCACTAGAGATGCAGAGGTTTGAACAAGTGACTTCTTGACAAAAAGGTCTAACTTACCCATGTTAGGTAAGTGGAATCCACTAAACGTTCTTCAAGCAACTTTCCCACGCAACCTAGCGTCTACTATGCAAAACTCAGCGCACATTACACTACAAACATCGGGATTTTGCGAGCCCCCCCCCTTTCCCCAAACTTTGATCTTGTACGGCACGGTTCCGCTATCAACATTGCTTCACTGGTACTTTTGCGATTTTTGAACATGTTTGTTTGCTGTAGTCCTCGGGTGTCCCCCAAGAGGCCCATCGCGCGGCGAAGGAAGAGACGCAGACGCGGCAAAGGACGAGTCGCAGCGCATACTGTAGCGGTTAGGCGTCAGGTTAAATAGAGTGTACCATACTCTCATATCGCACAGCACGCGCTGCGACTCGTCCTTTGCCGCATCTGCGTCTCTTCCTTCGCCGCGCGGCTGGCATGTCAACCATGAGCCCAAAGCTGGAGCCCCTTTGCAATTTTGCAGGACATAGTATGCACCGGAAGGGACCGATCGCGTGGCTTCAAAGATGAAAACGTGACTCGATTACACTGCCAGCCACTCAGCTATACTGCAACATCTTGCAAAAAAAGTTCTTGAGGACTTCTGAGCTCAACCGGTGACAAAACGTATGGATCGAAACAGCTGGCATTCTTGCCTGATGCTCGTCTACCACGTTTTATACAGGCATCTTCATCTTCATTCTCTAAGGATGTTTTCCAAAGACCGGATCCTTAACAAGTAAAGGAAGGATTGCGGACATCCGTTGCTACCGTACCTCTTTCATGGCTCTTCGCAGAAGCAGCTTGGCGCCGCTGAGCTCGTTTGCCGACGGACGTAACGGATCGGTGGCGTCGATTTCTCGTTCGCATGAGTCGCCAGCCTGAAGTGAGGGCTTACTAGAGGCATAAAGAAGAATGCTGAATAGATGCAATTTTTCCCAAAAATGGAGTTGAGGGGTCGTATAACTTCGTATTGTTCGGGTCCTCTAACTTCAAAGAGATATAAGAGCAACTGATAAAACGGCAATCGATCTCAACTTCAATATATGCTTTCGGTAAGTATTATTGGCAAATCACCGAAAGTAATATTTTAAAAAATGTGATCACACATCGTCCTTCCATGGTATTACCAGATGTTTTTTTCACACGTGTTTCTGCCTTGCAGTAGTGTCACTTTAGGATCAGACCTAGGGGTAAAATCTGTGCGTCGGTGCTGCGACCGGATTCTGATTCACAGTGTGCGTGTAGCAAGCAGTTAATTCGCCACTTCCCACGTCCGTCCTGTCGATTGATACGCCTCAAAGCGGTTGTCATAATCAATTATTCATTGCGCTCAGTGGTTCGCTTTATTCTACTAGAGTGAACAAATTCGTTCAGGCAGATGACATCCTAGTAGCTCTCCTGTGAAGGGAACGATGAGACAAGCTTGAAGGGGTAGTTTACCATTGAAAGATAGCCCCCCTCCTCCCCAATATCAAGGTAAAGGGTGTTCACAATGATGGAGAAAGCCACGAAAACCGGCTCAGAACCCACGAAGGGGACCCCCTTTGGCCCATAATTCTCACGCAACTTGTGCACAACTTTTCGATGCAGTACTCCCTCAGCGGCTTAACATCCTTCCTGCTTTACCGGCTGAACTCAGACCAATCCGTACCCTTCAGTGGCTGGCGAGGCGCGCGAAGCGGCCGTAAGTCACGGCCCTGCCTAGGCCGCCTGGGCATATACTCTCGTTGCGAGCCGCATCGTACTGCATTTTTAAAGCCCCCCCTGCCACTCGAGTGGGCACGACTTTCGACTTCTATATTTACCCTTGTTCGACCTCCCACTCCCACCAATCAGCTGTAGGACCAAGAGCAGCAGATCATAGAGGTTTGCCTTCTACCGCCCTGCCCCCCTCTCGTTTCCCACTCTCCTCCCAGCCAAAGAATTATCGTAGCGGGTTACCATTAGGTAAAAATGCTCCTACACCCACCGCTGCGAGCATAACGGCTGGAAATGGGATAAATCACGATCAAAATCCCTCGACAGGGATTGTATTTGTCCTAGTAAGGAAAGAGGAGCTACGTTTAGTTTTTTAGGGGATCACAGATTGAGTGCGACAGATGAGAAAACGAATAGAGTTTGCTGTAAAAAAGAAAGTTGCTGTTTTAGGACACTTACCCCCCCCCCTCACGCTAAACAGCAGAATTCAAGGAAGTTCGGTGTGTTAAGTTGTGAACTTGGATCAACAACACTACTGATTGTGAAGTACCATCAAACCAGAGGGAGAGCCGTACTGCAGCGGCCTATTCCTCTATGTGATATTGACCCCGGCTGAAAATCTGGGCGGTAAGGATAAAACTCAAGAAGCGCAGACGTGGATGTTACGAAGAAGGTCAGAAAGTATCAGCCGTTATCAACGGAACCGTCAATTTTCCTCCTAGGTCAAGTCATCAGAGATGTGCCCAACCTTGAGCTGAATAAAAAATAGGCCTAAATAAAGGCTTAAGTGAAGGCTAAAGGCTTGAAGGTTTCAAATGTAGATTTATGCTATTGATATACACATCCATTATTGACAGTGACTCTAGAGACAGAGAGAAATATCACTTATTAGCACGAGGTATCTAGAGTAGAGCCTGCCAGCAGCTTAGGCGTCAAGTACGAAAGCGGACTTAGAATAAAGAGTTCATTCCGCCCTTTCAGAACTCGAGCGAGAAATAAGGTGAGTGTTTGCAATCAAGTTGCTTACAGTATTCCAGGGAGCCCTAGTAGACTCTCTTAGCGGGAACACTATAAGGTAACAGTAATATAAGGTGGTTCACTCGACTTGAGCCATCTGTCGCGCTCAAGAAAACGTTCATTGTGAACAAGCTTGTTCAACAGAAGTGTTTTTCACTATTTTTGTGGTGTTGAGAGCCCATATTCCCATCTTTCTGGCTTATTGGCGATTCCAAAACGACGAAACGATTCCATAATATTTTCAAAGTGATTAATTCACCAATACATTTGTGCACCTGGTAAATTTTTGGAAATCATCTGCCAGCTAGGCTGTGCCTGATAAAGAGGTAATCAGACGTTGCTGTGTGCGGATGACTGCCTGGAGTGAACGG